CAGATTCTCTTTCTTGACAGCAATGGTACTGATTCCGAACACTGGCTCCAACCGCAGACGTATATCCATCGGTAATTCCTGCACAGTTCATGAAGCTGATCTCCGATCCAAAACTAATGAGTTATTATTAAACGCCTCTATCAGTGGTAATACTAAAGAGGTCTATAGTAACGGACTGAAAGCTTTTGAAACTTTCCGATTTAAACATGGTCGCCAGCAAATTTATGTGCAGCAAATTATAGATTTTGTAGCCTTCCTAGCCGTTCAAAAGTGTGCCCCTAGTACTGTCCGTAGTTATTTGTCAGGGATAGCTTTTCATTCCAAGCTATTAGGGCACAAGGATGTTACACAAAACTTTGTAGTTAAGAAAATGTTGACTGGTATGTTTGATACTAGACGTCCAATCACTCCGACATATTGTTGCGGTTAATAAACATTTTACCTATTGTATGCAGTTCAATATTTGAAAGCACTTTATTCTGGGCGGCTTTTTCGCTAGCTTTTTACGTTTTTTTTCGGGTTGGCGAACTTGTCATTTGTAAGCCCGGCATAAGTCCTCATGTTCTTGGGGTGGATGGCATCACCTTGGGCGATCTCGGAAAATGTTTAATGATACTACTATCAAGTTCTAAGACGGACCAAACAGGCAAAGGTGTAACTCTCTCTTTGTCGCAGATCGGGGGCCCCACCTGCCCTGTAAGTCTTGTCAAAAGATATATGCATATCCGCCCTTCCCTCCCCGGTCAATTCTTTTGTCATTTCGGGGGAATGCCAGTAACTAGGTACCAGTTTAATGCCATTTTGAAAATATCACTGAATCTATTCGGTATGGATGGTATCCCTTACAAATCTCATTCTTTTCGGATCGGGGCAGCTACAACAGCGTCACTATTCGGTTTCTCTGATGATCAAATCAAAGAACTTGGGCGTTGGCAATCTCGTTCATTCAGTGCCTACATCAGAATTCCACCAAAGCAAATGAGTAATTATCGTGTGGCTACTTAAATGTGTATCGTATGTGTTATATAATTAGAATTTTGTCTGTTTCTTTACCTTGTCTTAATCAAGTTTTCTAAAGTTTCAGATGTAAGGTTTCGAATTTGGATTGTTGGTTCGTCGTTGATAAAGGAGGCTTTTCTTAGAGCTAGGTCCTCTTACCAGGGCAGTCAGCTAGGCCTGAGTCGTACTCATGCTTTTGTATGGTGGCAGGGAAAGAGAGGAATGGTCTGGAAACAGCTCCTTCTGACGCCTTCAATTTTTACTTACGCTGGAAGATGCACCTGAATGTCTTGTGATACACTGTGGTGGTTATGACATAACTCAAGGTAATTCGCTTCAACTTCGTTTTAAAATGATGGAAACCATAAGGCAAATTAACCAGCTTCTTCCGGATACATTTATTGTGTGGTCGCAAATTTTACCACTACTAATATGGAGGGGTGAGCTTAATCATAAGGCAGTTGAACGGGCGCGTTTAAGGGTGAATAGGGAGTTGGCTAAATTTGTTTTAAACTTGGGGGGTGGTTATATAAGTTACCCTGAAATAGGCCATTCTAATCCCTACCTTTTCCGCAGCGATGGTACCCATTTAACACCTTTGGGCTATGATATATTTTTACATGCTATTCAAGTGTATCTGGACAGCTATTTATCCAGTTATTAGTAGTTTGTTATGTAGGGTCACGGCTGGCGGTGTCAAGTTCTCCTTTTTCTCGATCTTTCCATGTGGCGGATTATGGGCAACACCGCGTATTTATAGGCGTAATTTAGTTAGTGATAATGGTTTTCATTTAATTTGCCTTCATTAAATTTCATTAGTGCATGAACGAACAGCTGTTCCCGGGGTTCGTCATAAACTAACTCATTTTATCTTATCTCAATGAAATTTGAAGTTTAGACGAATTTTCATACGAATTATTTTATCTGAATGGAATTTGTAATTGTGACAATTTTTGGGAAGTTTTAATTTTAATTATTTTTTCGGAATAAAATATGAAGTTGTGACAAATTTTTGAAGTTTAACTATATGACTGTTTGATTTGATTTAAGGTTTGCCCAAAGTCCAAGTTCGGGTGGTAAACTTTCGATTGATTTATTTAAGGTTTGCCCAAAGCCCAATTTCGGGTGGTAAACTTTCAGTTGATTTATTTGGTTTGCCCAAAGCCCAAGTTCGGGTGGTAAACGTTTGTTGAATTATTTAATACAATTGAATTTGAATTGATTGAATTATTTGGTTACAGCCGTGGCCACATTATGCCAAAAATAAAGTTTTTCTTAAATATCATTTAATGTCTTGAGTCATCTGTGATAATAATGAACGTGAGGTTCAAATTAACATTTCCTGTTTACACCACTGCGAACATTGGCTTAACGGATAAGAAAACCACCTTCAGTAGCTTCTTATATACTTGAGACTGGTTAAATTCTTCAAAAATTATTACACGCTTTATAATATATCGGCTTAGTAAGAGTTCCGTCTATTCTATATGCCGACATTCTCTATCTACAATTTCTTGTGAGCACTCTAGTGATTTATGTATCCCCCCGCTTACGTTGAAGTACATGGAATCTTGTAAACGATAAACGGAAAGAGAATTGTCCTAGAGGCACAAGAAAGAAACCTATTGAATTATAGTATTTTCCGGTGGTACATGATAATGCGTTTCGCTAAGTTATCTGTCCCACCCTATTTTGACTCCCAAAGCTTGTGAACGGGGCATAAGGAGGAAATCTGTCGATATTTAGAATATCTATTGCGTCTGAAGTCTTAAAGATTGTGAACTTGATCGAGGATAGTGGTCATAATGGAACTTGAAATAAGCACTAGTGATAGTGTTTGTCACACATACCAAAGGCAAAATATTAATAGAACAAACAATACTGGAACCAATGCCATTAAGCATTCCTAACTAATTAATATAGACAATGACAAAAGAAACGAGTTCACAAAGGTGACCAGAATTAATTTGGCTTATGACCACCTGATAGTTGGTTCCTATTATGCATTTATCAGCCCAATATAGGTCTCTTCGTGATGACACAAAATCAATATCCATCCTAGTAACGTATAATGAAACTGAAAGATTAGATCATTCAAATAATCGATAATCAATATCGTACGGGAAGCTTGGCAGCTTAATAAAAAAAATAAAGACTGCGAATGGAAATAATCTCTAATAATATTACGAATTAGAATGTACAACGCACGCACTTTTAACTGACGTATGCCGTCTCAGTTCAATCTGTGGAAGAACTATATAATGTTTATCCGAGTTCGTGTTCTTTACTTAAGATTTAAACATAAAGTTGTTAAACAAATTTATATTACTATTTAGCCTATATATTATACATCGTTGGTTATTTGTCTATCTTAAAGATTTTGTGCGTCATTTGCTCTTTTCGGAAAATATCAAATTTCCATGGATTAATCCAGGCTAAAATGTTCTCATATTCATTATGTAATATTTAATTGAGAAAATAGAAATCACACATAAACTGCAGATAAGCTGCAGACTTGGATTTGGTCTGATTAGAAAGAGTGCTATTAAAATATTCAGCGAAACTTATAGGTGGCGTGTGTTGACTACATACTATACATAATATTGTCTGCAGTAGATTCCGAATGTTAACAAATTTTCAGGTCATCTTATCTTTGTAAGTTCTGAACGGAATTGTATCATTTTTGGATTGATATTTCGTTGAGAGATGTAGTTATAAAATATTGTAATTGCATTGACGATCAGAGACTTTACGTCGATTGCTACGAGATTAGTAAAACATTGGGTTTGGACCATTGGCTGGTGACATTTGACACCGATATTAACATACATGTTAATAAATCTGAAGCACAGACAAAAATCCAGTGGACTTACTGTGTGAAATCAAATAATAACAAGTGGACTATACAGATGACATAATTTCTTAGTTGTATCAATTATCCTAGAAAGAGTGAGCTTATCCAGGCTGAACTTCCAAACCCATCGCACCATGTGCCATTCGTTAAAACGTTTAACAATAACCAAATCATTAGGAAGTGTCAATCAGATCTGAAATGAAAACTAACATAGACCTGTTATATTCATATACTCAATCATAGACACACCTATGAAAATCTGACCTTAGTTTAGATGGTAAGTTTTTCAATTTACATGTCAAAATCTTTAATCTACACAATCCAAGGACTAGACCCGATATATGGGTTGCGCCTGACAAGTAAGATAATTTAGCTACCTGTAACTGGGCTGCAGACAGACAGACAGAAAGTGCTGTAATGAACGCTCTCGGCTGCAGTCAGGCGGTTTCAGTGCAAAAAGCGGTTAGAAATTCTAGCTTAAGGGAAGCAACTGCTATTATTTTACATTCCGTGTCATTTTTTGTTGACTGAATTGACATTGTTTTCCCAGGTTTCGGTAAATATTCATGATTTTGAAACAGAAGGATAACAGCTGGTTACAGTGATAGGTAGCCTACGGCGCACGTTAGAGCATCCGGCTACACACCCACCCCGGTCTACAATCGCACAAGAGGTTTTGTTAGGTTTTGGTGAATATTCATGAGAAGCGGAAGGGTAACAGAGTTAGGAGGTTGATTACGGCAAGATATTGCCAAATGTTGGGAAGATTTTGGTGGTCTGCATCCGCCTGGATTAATGGTAGTTATCTCCCTTTGATATACTCGTAAATATGTAATTATCTAGAACGCTTGATCGGAGACGGTCCTGTACATATGACGTCATATGTGGATTGTGCGTTGACGTTAGGGTTAGGCTTGGTCGAGGGTTAAGGTTAGTGCTAGCCCCGTTTACATCTCGAGACATTGACGAAATCTGCAGGTCCTAAACCCTTACCCTAACCCACAGTCCACATATGACGTCATATGTGCTAAAATGTACAGGACCGTCTCCGATCTAGCGTTATCCCGAGATCTATTTCTTAAGGTCAACTCAATATTTCGTCATGGTCGCTGAGATGTAAATAATACGTGATTGTTGGTGAGATTGTAGGTTAGGGTACGCGTTAGGGCTAGGTCCAGGGTTAGGGTTACGGTTGGGGTTAGCGCTAGCCCTGTTTACATCTCGTCATCTTTGTTTTGACCAAACTTGAAGTTGGCCTTAATATGAAATAGATCGAGCCCAAATATCTAGTACACTGCACTGAATGCGGACGAATCGATAGTCTTTGTGGTCACGAGGGTGGCATGTGACCTGTTAGTCAGTCATATGATCAAAACACTGGCAATATCATTTTAGATAGGAAGATTTCTAATCCGTTAGTCAGGGTATCCTCACCAGTCAGTATACAGAAAGCAAGAGGTATGATGGAAGGGAAAATTGTTTGCTTAGTTGTAGTTTTGACTCTGTCCGTAGCTACGACAGAAGAGTTGAAATTCAAATCACTCAAAGCCACTAAATCACCATGCTACAAGCCGATGCTAGACTACAAACCAGTCAGGTAAGTTTATGTTAGCCTAGCCTAGACTTAATAGGGCTTTACAAAAAAACCCGACCCATTGCATAGATCGTATATATAGTACAGTTATATCATATGCCCCATAATTATAGCCAATGAATTAGTATTAAATGTAGACTGTTACACACACTTTTATAATTTTCTGGAGAATAAAGACCAACAATATATAAACCCACTCGTATCCTGATAAGTGAATCATTCAACCGTGATATTAAAAAAGACTAAAATGTCATTGCACGGATGGGGCGGATATAAAACGGCTCATACTGTAAAGATCATACAGTAATCTGATGAGTAATTTATGACTAACTAAGGGGAAGAAGGAACATATCGACCTTCTTTATTTATGTGTTTTTCTTTAATTTCAACTGACTTGAACCTTTAAAAATACAATAAGTAAAGAGTCCATAAGCGTTTCTCTCAAATTTAGTTGTAACAGTTACTAATTGTTTTCAGCATTTCTAAGTTAGTTTGAAAGTTATTCAGCATTTTTAATTAATTTTTGTTTATCAATATATTGTAGAACTTACCCACGTCCACAAGAATTAAGAAAGGTAGATTTACCTGCAGGATTTGATTGGAGAAATGTAAATGGAACTAACTATGCCAGCACAACAAGAAATCAACACATTCCACAATGTATGTCTACACTAAATTTGTGAATTTCCATTTTATTGTTTTATTATTACTAATGATAATTCGAAAATATCATATATTTTTTTATTATAGAACTTAAATGATAAACAAAACAAATGATATTCTCAAATTGTCATTAAATTATAAAAATAATTTTAACAAATATGGTAAATGTCCACAACTTTATTGGGAATGTTAATATTGATCATTGCTTTGTAGATTGTGGATCATGTTGGGGTATGGGATCAACCAGTGCTATAGCCGACCGTATTAATATCAAAAGAAAGGGTGCCTGGCCTTCTGCTTATCTCTCTGTTCAACATGTTCTGGATTGTGCTAATGCAGGAACTTGTCATGGCGGTGATGATAGGGCTGTATATGATTATGCTAATAAACACGGCATTCCTGATGAAACTTGCAATAACTATCAAGCTAAAGACCAGGGTAAGTTACTTATAACATTTTTAAAACGACCACTACACTCCTTTGTCAAAATAATTTTCCACAAAGAAACCCTGCTTCATGAAGAATTAAGATTCTCCCACTGCCTCAATAAAGAGTTCCACCTAATATAAAAAAAAGCACACACAGCTATGTCCTGTGTCCTTGGAAAGATAACTCTGCGAAATGCGTTTGAGATTTAGGACAGGGGTTTTGCCCTGTGCTCAAATGAACAACCACACCAAGTCTCATAATCTTAACAAAGTCCACCAAGAAGTCTTTCCTGTACTACGTTCACAAAATATCACAAATCTGAATAAACATTTAGAAAAACCCAGGATTTGCGGTTGAAAATACAGAATTTCAAATTCAATGGCTGCAAATTTTAAATAAAAATTGTTAATAATTATGACAAGTAGAGTGTTGGCAAGAAATTATCCACATTAAACGTGGATATATAAAAACCTATATCACGGTAATGTTCAGCCTGAAATTGCACACTTATTAGTAACCGATATGTATTTGTCTTACAGAATGCGATAATTTCAATGCATGTGGTACCTGTACAACATTTGGTGAATGCTCGCAGCTTCAAAACTATACTCTGTGGAAAGTCGCTGATCACGGTGCTCTGGAAGGAAGAGCTGATATGATGGCAGAAATATATCACAATGGTCCCATTAGGTATGTTTTTACCTGTATTCATTTAACTGTTATCGTTTAGGAGATAATCTATTGTAAATCATCTGTAACAATTTTAATTTCCTACAGTATTTGACATAGTGTCTGAGCTGTTTTATGAATGGAAGTTAATTACAAAATGTAAGCATAAGTTCGTTCGTGGACTTAACGCCCGCTTCCACCGAATGTCTGAAATAGCTTTATTTAATGTCCGCTTCCACCAAAGTGATATCGCCGACAATGGCATATTATATATAGGCAAATATTTACATAGTGATTAACGTGAAAATAACGGATGGGGTGATTTTTATACGCCCACATTGAAATGTGGTCGTATATTGTCGTTGCCCCCGTCCGTCCGTCCGCCAGGCGTCCACAATTTATACACAATGTTTAAGGTCATGAGATGAAGAAGCCTATTGATGCAAGAACGAATGTGCAAATAGTATATACATAGAGACACACAAACAATATCAATACGACAGTCTGACAAATAAATACTGGACAGACAAATATGTACACGCATATATACATCGCAAACAAATATAAGCATAACAGTTATAAAACGAGTTATTGTCTGCGATATCACTTCGGTGGAAGCCGACGTTAAATAAAGCTATTTCACACACAAAACGAGTTATTGTGTAATCTGTTATTTGGATGTTTGTTTTACAGTTGTGGTATCATGGCTACTGCTGGTTTAGAAAAGTATAAAGGCGGAGTTTATTCTGAATACTCAACATCACCTGGTGTAAGTGATAAAATCATATAAATGTCAATTCTGTCTTTACAGTATAATACATGTGTCAAACTTCTAACATAATTAATATCAAATTTAAAATCATTCTAATTAAATGCTGCCTCATCCTAATGGAAATGACTCATCAGATCATCCCAATGCAATACTTTATATTTACCTTAATTATTAAGTTTTCCATAGTTATTCGGTGAAATTTAAATTTCATTCCCTGAAGCCCTAGACTAGCATGCATAATCCATCGGACAAATTCAATCGCTAACCGACAGTCCTACACTTAACCCATTATCAAAGAAAGTGGTGTTTAAAATCGTACATGACTATATTACAATTATGGTTATAGAAGTAAGAGTACGTTGACACCAACCTGATTAGAGATCTTTCTGAGCTCAACTTCCGTAACTTTTCCGACTTGTAAGTAGGATTGTCCGGAGCAAAGACCCAAAGTAGCATTCCTATTTTTTTTTTTAGATCAATCATATTATATCAGTTGCTGGATGGGGTGTAGATTCTGTTGATGGAGAATACTGGATCGTCAGAAATTCCTGGGGAAATCCATGGGTATGTTAACTATGTTATTTTACCGGTATTTAAGTTAATGTCCTAGTATTAGTTTCGTTTCTTCAAATGATAACGATGATTTGCAACCAAGAGGACCTTACGCATAACGCAATTAACTAAAATATAACGATATTTATCTGAGAATTATGCATTATATGCCGGGTCGTAATTTAAACAATAAAAAGCTCTATTGTGCGCAGGCCTGGAAATAACAGTTTTAGATGTACCTGACACTAATGAAATAGTACCTGACATTTTCAACTTTGTGCCGGACATGTATTAATAATATCAATAGAAAAGACAAATCAGTGCCCGACAAAATGACAGATGTTTTGTGCCTGACAAAGCCTGGAATCTGTGCCTGACATTGTCTGTGACAGGTGCCTTATTTCCAGGCTTGATTGTGCGTGACAAAGAAGTGGGTCGATTGCCTAGTTTGGATTGGGTTTTTGTGCCCCCACGGGATTTAGTTCATCCTGAAAATCAGAGGTCACCACGCCACTTTAGAGTTGAGGTTATAATTATATATTTAAAATGTAGACATTTTTATATATTTTAGGGTGAACGAGGATGGTTCCGTATTGTAACTAGTGCTGGTCTAGGAGGTAAAGGTGATAATTATAACTTAGCTATAGAAACACAATGTGCTTTTGCTGATGTTATTGTTCCACCAGGTTATTAAGTGTTTTCATCTACCGTCACAATGTGATATTGTTATAAAGTACATTTTTCATATTTGTAAAAAAAGGTTTTTAAATAAATTATTTTATGTACAGATTTTTGAATTGAGTTTTATGTGATTTTAAACATATGACTTTTACAGCAGTTAGATTTCGAGATGCAATATTTGCTTTAACAGGCCAAAAACAGGATGACACAACCATCTACATTGAAAACATATGGATTTCAACCTCCTTATTGACAAAATAGCTGATTCATAAAATGGCATGCTTGGTGTAGTTACAAAGCATCAATAGACATATTTAGTTCTAGATGTGAGAACGAAAAAGTGTGTAAAAAGCTATCATGGAAATCATTCATCATTGTGTTCAATAGTTGACCTGAAATGATAACTGTCTTTATCAAAATTAAGTCAATCTTTGTTTCCATGGTACAAGGAAACTGTATTTATTCACCGGGAATTACCAATAAGTTAAAGCCACAACCTCTACTATATATATTTGGTTGATGTGTGCACAAATTGTCGTTATGAAACCGGAGGGGACATGACCCATTTCTGTATTCCGAGGGGGCAGGCGTGACCGAATGGTTAACGTGTGCGCGTTGTATCATAAGGTCTGTCATTGAGTCAACTGGCGTGGTTTCGATTCCCTGGTCGTACGTGATAAGGAGTAGGGTCGGGGTCGCCTGTCCAACCTCGTGGGTTTTCTCCGAGTCATCCGGTTTCATCCCTCCCACGGCTAAGCTAAAGACCCCTACGCGCAAGCGATTTATTGAAATGAAAATGAATGATGTGTTAGTCCCGAAATGAGCTAGGTTGTGGCGAGTGGACGGTAAACCCCATTCCTCTCTCTATATCTTCCTTCCAGTGCCCTTAAAGATACTTTTCCGCATACAAACTGTGTGATTTGGTGATAATCTTATTAATCTATCAAATATTTGCTTCAAATCCCTCTCAAAACTTTGTATTCGTCGGGAGATACCGTAAGCTATAAATTAACTGTTGTTAGACGCCATGCCTGTCAGCTCAATTCAGTGAGCGAGGGTCCATTTTTAAGTATGTATTTTTCATTACTTTCTATCCATTTATCATACATATTGAGGCCTAAGTAAATTATTTTCCGTCAACTTCTTTTTCCGCCGTTTACTTTGAAGTCTTTTGTACGTTGACACCCCGCAATGTTCCCAAAACCGCCTTACCAGTTGACCAAGAAGTAATAAGCTAGCACATAATAAGCTGGTACACAACAGCCGGTTTGCCAGTTAGGGATACTCTGACATTTTTGTCCAGTGCTTGCCCCATGAGTGTTTTTCGGGTAATCCATAATTTTTCTGGTGAGTTGGGTGTCTATATTTTTTTATACATACTTAATATGCCATACTTTTATTGGAAATAACCACCCGATAAATACTCACGGGACAATGTATCTAAAGTTCGTTTGGCGCGAAACAATATAGAAAGAACTTATTTCCATCAGAGCTGGAAAAATAGTCGTTTTTCTGACAACTACACAAAAAAGCCAGAGAAATAAGCCACTGAGAAGGGAATAACAATTATTAATGGCGATGTCTTTTAAGATCGTTGAGCTAGCTAATCGAAATGATCTATGTTGAACCTGAGTAGAAGTTGAAAGGCTTTCGCAAAGAAATGTGTTATTCGTACCCGATTAAGCTCAATACGTTCACTAGGATTTAAGGTCAAACTTAACTGTGTCCAAAGAAGCAACGAAATCGATTGTTCCATGGTCATTTAGCCAATTTTAAGTTAACCTCTCCCGCAAAGTTCGTTCGGCTGGAATGAAAATCCGAGGTCCCGTGTATACTTTGGGGCGTGCACGTAAAATTGGAATTCGATATAAGAGTAGGTCATAGTGCCGCTGCCTGGGCAAAATTTCCCCCATAGCACACTGTATGGCGTATGCCCGTCTTCATTAGCTCAGTTGGAGCAGAACAGTAGGACGTTTAACACCATTTCATTTCTCCCGCAAAGCTAGCAATTTGCATTTTGGCAGTTTTGATTTGAAAGTTTCCAAACATTGCGATGTTTTGAGATTTAGGGGTAAATAGTTTAAGTCTATAACTTGGTCCTGTTAGAAGGTGATCATTTTGTGACCTTAGGGTGCGGTTGGGGATATATTCAGATAGCATTGAACAAAGATATTCTGGGGCTGTTCCATTTAAACATTTATGGGCCATAGGTTACACATGAGTTTGAAACGGATTCTGTGGGTGATTGGTAGCCAGTGCCACAACAGGTCGATTATCTAAACAACAACTCAGTCACCCAGACAACCATGTGTTGAATCATCACACCAACAAAATCAAATGAAATGTGGTATAACGCCCTACCTTTCTGCACCCACCGGGACAATGAAGACGGTGAACACCAACAAGTAAATCACCATGGATCATACTATTCACTAAAAGGCTATAATATAGACTTTCAGTCTATACACATTAAAAATTGGTATTATCTAAAAGCATATTGATATTATTAAGATCGGCCAATTCGAACGCTAAAGACAAGTTGTAATTATCATTCTTTAGTGATCTAAAGAAAAATGGCCTCTAACCTCGATTTTATGATTTAATCAATCAGAACGCAATTCAGTTGAATCTAAATTAAGAAAATGGTCTTTAGCATTGGTTTAAACATATTTTATTATTATAAAGTAAAAGGATCGGACAAAAGTTCCAGAAACTTACAAAAACATCCTTTCCTTCTTAAGTACATGAAATTATTCAAGACAACAAAATGTGCAATATAAAGAAGATAATTAAAATGGCACTGAGGAATAAATCTAAAGATTGACAAAAATCAGCATAAGTAAGAGATAATTATCTGAGAATCATTCTAATGTGCAAAAGTCTTGACATTTTTCTTGGTGGGGGGGGGGGGGCTTATTTTTCGTAGGGTTTTTTTTTTATTAATCGACTATTTCAGTCCATGTTTCTGTTCACAATTAAAATACGGAAAATGATTACTTGCATGTCCCCATGTTACATCTATTATACAAAACCGTATCTAATCATTGCTATTTTATCTTTTACTTTCTTACTAAGATAACCATTGTTATTTTTAATTGATTTGAACCTTGATACTAAATGTTTTTATTATAATAAACCTTGATATCATACGATAACATATATCAATATAGATAAATAGGCCTTAATAATCAATAATACAGGTTAATGTAGGTAACAAGAACGGTGCCTGATGTACTAGTGTAGATAACATGTAACCTTGTACCATCAACAACATGGGTGTCAAGAAAACAGCGTTTCTCATCGTGGTGGTGGTTGTGATCATAAAGTCCAATGCTGTGCGAGTACAGTCTCCTGATCTATCATGCCACAAGCCATTACCACATTACAAACCTGTCAGGTAATGTCAGTATGCTATATATTAACAAAAATATAATGGTTTTTGGCTTTCATTTCAAATAATCTAATATACATTAATAAACCCTAAAACTCAAACTTGGGAATGTGGGGATATTAGACGGCACTATACATACAAGTAATTGAAGTATAGTATATGAATCTACACTTGCAAATTTTTAGCATAGCTACAATACGATATAGTGCCTACGGTGGCTGATAAGGGACATGAAAAATAATATAATTTGTTTTTTATAATTTTCAACCAAGTCAATTTTAATTTTCACCCAAGTCAATTTTAATATAATTTGTTTTTTATAATTTTCACCCAAGTCAATTTTAATATAATTTGTTTTTTTATAATTTTCACCCAAGTCAATTTTAATTTCAACCCAAGTCATTTTTAATATAATTTGTTTTTTTTATAATTTTCACCCAAGTCAATTTTAATATAATTTGTTTTTTATAATTTTCACCCAAGTCAATTTTAATTTCCACCCAAGTCAATTTTAATATAATTTGTTTTTTGTAATTTTCACCCAAGTCAATTTTAATATAATTTGTTTTTTTTATAATTTTCACCCAAGTCAATTTTAATATAATTTGTTTTTTATAATTTTCACCCAAGTCAATTTTAATTTCCACCCAAGTCAATTTTAATATAATTTGTTTTTTATAATTTTCACCCAAGTCAATGGGTGGAAATTCTTGGGTGAAAATTATAAAAAAAACCAAATTATATTAAAATTGACTTGGGTGAAAATTACAAAAAACAAATTATATTAAAATTGACTTTGGTGAAAATTAAAAAAAAACAAATTATATTATTATTCATGTCCCTTATCAGCCACCGTAATTGCCTCCTGACATGTCTTAAATTCAATGAGGCCCACAAACAGTAAATATTAATTATCCTGACCAAATTAAAGAAAACTGTTAAAAATTCAAGTATTTTATTATTTATTTAAAATTAAATACAAAAGTGGCTCGAAATAATGTGCTTTCATATGCATTACTAAAAGTATACGTCCTCCCTTTCGTTTAAATCATCGTTTTTGAAAGATAATTATTTACTTGAAACCCTTTTTTAGAACTTATGCAAGACCACACGAATATTTGGATTTATCTAATCTACCCAGAGAATGGGACTGGAGAAACATAAATGGCACAAACTATTGCAGTGCCACAAGAAACCAACATATTCCACAATGTAAGCAATATTGTTTGTAAAACATACAATGTAAAGGCAAGTATATGTTAACGGGAGGGGAGGGGGGATTTGGTGGACTAAAAAGCACATATTAATTATCGAAATACACGTATCTGTTAAAACTGAGGAATCACAGTTCTGATCCATACTTTTGTTTACATGCAAATAATATAATTACCAATAAATTGTTTCATATCCATCTGCCTGATTCAGAAATTGAACTATTTGAACCCGATTGCTAACTCGTAAATTTCGTTGGTGATATGAAATATTGACCGATACATGAAATGAAATGGGGTTTAACGTCCTACTGTTCTGCACCGAATGTGTTAATGAAGACTGGCATACGCCACACAGTGTGCTATGAGGGAAATTTTGCCTGGAGAGGGGCACTACGACTTAAGTTTTAATCGAATTCCAACTGTCAAGGGGCCGTTGTACTTGCACGTCAATGTGTACACGGAGCCTCAATTTTTCGTCCCATCCGAACGTCTATACGTTGTCCCCTGCCAGGCCTTCCGTCCTGCACCACTGACAAGATGAACTTTATCGGCCAACACATCGATCGAACACTCGACCTCCATGTTAGCGAACCAACGTCTTACTCACTGAGCCACCGTGGTCCCCATTGGCCGACGCACGCTGTTCTCGGAAAAATAATCGTTGTTTTCATTGCAGTCTGTGGTGCTTGTTGGTCAATGGCTACTACTAGTGCACTAGCAGATAGGATTAATATTAAAAGAAAGGCTGCGTGGCCTCTAGCTTTTCTGTCCGCCCAAAATGTCATTGATTGTGGTCAAGCAGGTACGTGTTATGGTGGGGATCACAGAGCTGTTTATGTTTATGGTAACCAGAATGGAATACCGGATGAGACCTGTAATAATTACCAAGCAACCAGTGACCAAGGTAAGTAAAATCTATACAGATGTCCCTTGTTTGCATAGGATTAAGATCTTGTGGTCAAGCAACGCAAAAACGGATTGAAGTCTGGCTTCGGAGTGTTGTCTTCCATCTGCACAAAAATGTGTAAACTTTACTATACTAAACTAGAAACCGAATTTCGGATAAATGTATGCAAACGATTTAAACCCCATGTGTTAATAGACTTTGATGGTACACACTCAAAACGTAATTAATTATTTATCGTGGCCAACCAATCACGTGACAGTCAAAATAAATACCTATCCAGACAAAGCCGTTGTATAACAAACCATCTTAATTCAAGCCTAAATAATTGTTTTTGATAAACTTTAATTGTACACCAGCATGTAACGAGTTTAATTCATGTGGTACATGTACAACTTTTGGTGAATGTGAAAAATTACAGAACTACACACTGTGGAAAGTTGGTGATCATGGACAAGTAACTGGTCGATTAAATATAATGGCTGAAATCTATAAAAATGGTCCCATAAGGTAGATACTAATTTCTAACAAAAGTTTGTATTACTGTTGAATTTAAAATCTGTTTAAATTTGGAGTATGAGTATAGGTTTAATTTCACATATTACCAGGAGAGACGTTGCAGAAGAGACATTAAACCTCTGGAAGAAACTATGTAATGTAAATATACTGCTAAATGATAGAAGACACTGAACTGTTTTAGCAAATATACCGCTAAATCTGTGTTTTGCAGCAAATTTAGAATTTCACAGTCATCGTTTAAACCATTACAGTTTTATTCTTGTAACTTAGTTCTATAGCTTCAACATAAATTAATGATTGCAATGCATGAATGATATTATATGATATCCATTTGCAGTTGTGGGATTGACGCTACTCTTAAAGTGCATAGTTACCGCAGTGGAGTGATCTCTGAAAGAACGTTTTACAACTTTGTAAGTATAATATATATTATAGGTATTATACAGATTACCATATCCAAAATTTACCCGATAGAATTATATTGTGCATATGCACAATTTGAGACAAATCTGTCAAGCCAGAAATTTACGTACATATTAGCTGCATTATTGTGGAGTGCCCGTGCAAACTGATTTACTCACAAGTAATTTGAAAAGTATATAATATATAAAATTATATCTGATTATGGCGAGAGTGACAATTAATATGATTTTAATTTCACATGAAGGACCAATATGCAAATCTGTTTTATTTCCTTTAATTATTCAACGTGGAATTTTATATTAATCCACGACACCGGGTCAGAAAATTCATAAGAAACGAATATTGTTAACTTGAAAGTAGTCTGTATAAATATATCAAGATAATGTTACACCATAATTACGGAGGTTTTAAATTGCTTGAAAAGCAATGTGCTCCTTAGTGAAGAAGCATGAAAAGATAACATCTCTATTTTTGTATTCAGATTAATCACGTGGTTTCTATAGTTGGTTGGGGTGTCGATGACGTAGCTGGCGAATATTGGATTGTAAGAAATTCATGGGGAGAACCCTGGGTATGATTAAATATTTAAAATTAATGATTAATCTCGGTATTGTACCGGATGATGACTCAATTAATTTCCGGAGTATAGAAATACATGGAAACTATTGGTAACATCAATTTTATAATGAAATGGCCTCCATGTATGTAAATGAATAATACTTGACCTTTTGTATTGTAGAATATAATCAGTTTGAAACAGGAAGAGTTATGTTAATGTTTCCTGGGTTTAGAAATACACGGAAACTATTGATAACATCAATTTTATAAGGAAATGGCCGCCATTGCTGTAAATGATTAACGTAATAAACAGTTTGATTTTTTGACGCTTTCTATTGTAGATATAATCAGTTTGAAACAGGAAATGTTATTTTAATGGTTTTTTTTATATTCTACAGGGTGACAATGGTTGGTTTAAAATAGTAACAAGTGCGTCTCACAATGGTGATGGAGCAAAATACAATCTGGGAATTGAAGATTCGTGTGCATACGGCGATGTGATAATACCACCAGCACCGTAGATGTCTTTAAGAGGACATTGTTACTTTACCTAGAAAATAAAAATCTTAAACAATGTCATATTTAAAATAACCTAAAAGTTAATTATTGGATATCCAAACTTCATAATACTACTTTGAATAAGTCATTTTCCTCGAGCGTTATGTAAAGTCCCCGGAAATAATGGATTGACAGACCTTTGTCAAACATTGTATAAATTCGGATTTTTACACGCCTATCCCTTGATGTTGAACGTCATGTGCCCATTGGTGGTGGAGCAAAATACAATATGGGAAAAGAAGATTTGCATGTTGGCTACTAAATGTAAATTGTTATTTGCTTTAATTTTTGCAACCTTTTAATAAATAAAATATGCGGTATGATAATACAGAGATTTTCCTTGTTATTGTAAATCTAAAATGCGCACATGGGTGTACATGTATATTTTATATCTTAATTTTTTCTACACGGTCTTCTATCATGCCCACTGACAAGATAAATATACTATATAGAATGAGAAAATAATGTTATTAATTAATATACGCTACAAGTCATTTAGTGAATGAAACAAAACCACCCAGCAACACAATTCTCAAATATAAAAAGAATCAAACTGATTGTCCATATTACTTACTTTATAGTAGAGGAAAATACTAAGAATCCGTGACCAATTATTTCAGCAGAACTTGCTTTGAAGATATTTTCTGTATCAGAAATTAAAATGTGCTGAAAAATTTGACTTGGAGAACTCTCTCAAAAACTTTTGGGTTTCACTGATATTATAGAAAACACATTCTAAATCAATTCTGCTGAAATTGACCATGGATTCCTAGTATTTTCCTCAACTATTCTGTAATGTTTTTATAAGATTTGATTTCATAGATGTATTATAAGATGACGGGTGGAACTAACCATTGAGAAATAGCGTGAATGAAGTTGACTATACATATACGCTCGTTTTTTTAATTCACCGGCGGTCCCCGTCCCCTTCAAGAAAGGACATAGAGATGTTCAAAGATTGACTAAGGAGAAACAAATAAACACCAAGAAATGACTAATTTCGCCGTCACCCATTTGTTTGCATTATAAAGTTTAAGTGAAATAAGATGTTGATTAAATTTTTATTACATCTGTCATTGTACATATTCATATAAATAAACAAACTAGGTCAAAATATAAACAAATCTCGTAGAGTTATCTCCCTTGTGTTTGATTTCCAATACAATCGAGTGTTCTTTCGTATTGATGTATTTATAAATAGCGTGTTATTGGTTAGATAGTAGGCCTATATGTCACATGTACATTGTTTGTCATATGATATCCGCCGTACAATCACAAACAGATTAGACAACGAATGTTCTTTTTTTTTTACAAATATTCGGCCCTCAAGATGGAGTGGAAGTCATTAGCTCTGTTCGCGGCTTGCATTGTTTGTATACATGCAAACTATAAGATAGCTGCTGGAAAATCAGCTTGCTACAAACCATCGCCAGATTATAAACCACTAAAGTAAGTAATCTAAACACACAGTATTGTGAATAGAAAATGTGTATCACAACATTTGAGACCTGTTCAATGTAACATAATTATACAAAGAGACAGTATGGTATGTATGTATAATAAATAATGTTTATATAATAGCCTATATATACTATATAGTCTAGTTTATATCTGAGGGTATGTGGAGCAAATCAGAATGTAGCATATTTAACGCAATGGATATCAGTTTGGGATTAAAATTATAATTCACAAATAAATGTGCATCAATTAGTTGTTAGTTATAAATCTCAGATGTATGTGGTGCAAATAGCGTAGCTGGGTAGACTACCTGGGTGGGGCGCCACCTGGTTTTGTATTTCGTTATTAAAATTTGAACCCTTCCATGATTGCACATATTATTTTTTTTAAAGAAAATATGATTGTATACTCATTTAAAGATACATTCCCGCGTACAAACTTTGTGATTTGATGATATATTTGGACTAAAAAAATATTCAAAGTAACCAATCTATCAAGAATTTGCTTTAATTCCCTCTCAAAACTTTTCTCCGGGTCCTCCGGTTTCCTCCCACTGCTAAAGACCCCTATGCGCAAGCGAAATATTGAAATAAAATTGAACCAGGTGTTAGTCCCGAAATGACCTAGTTTGTGTCGAGTGGACGTTAAACCCCATCTCTCTCTCTCTCTCTCCCTCTCAAAACTTTGTTTTCGCCGGGGATACCTATAGCTATAAGTAAGCTGTTGTTAGACGCAATGTCTGTCAACTTAGCTTCATTGTGTAAGGGTCCATTTTGAAGAATGTATTTATCATTACTTAATGTACATTTACCATACATATTGAGGACTAAGTAAATTCTTAATTATTTCTGTTTATTTGTAGAGTCTTTTGTACGTTGACACCCCTCAATGTTCCCAAAACCGCCTAACCATTTGATACCGCTCCCTCACTTAAGCTGACACACAATAAGCTGGCAGATAACAGTCGGGTTGCCAGTTAGTGATACCCTGATAATTTTGCTAGTGGTTGCCCCATGGGCGTTTTTCGGGTATTCCAGTATTTTTCTAGTAAGATTGGGTGTCTATACTTTCCATATATACCAAATTTGAATACTTTTATTGGAAATAACCACTCGATAAATACTTTTCTGGGAAAGTATCTTTAAAGTACACTGTAAGCCTTTTCTGTAATTTTTACAGACTTGTTTCTGTAAAACGCCTACAGCGCAGGTCTGTTATCCTGATAACAGACACGAGTCTGTTAATATTTAAGAAATACAGAATTTCGTCCGTAAATATGACATACGGGTGTTTAAATTAAAGTGACGTCATCGGTCTTCCTGGGCGCCATTACTGCGAAGACCGTTAGTTAGCGGCAAAGAGGAATCCCTCAACATCGAGCACAATAGTTGAACACTACAGTCAATGCCAAACATTGCAGTTTTAGGTAAGTATACAGTAGGGACACATCTTTGTTTGACATAGATTGATTCTTAGCATTCGTAAAAATGTACGGTAACTGATTTATGAAATAGTAGGAATAGACTCTTCTACTTCTAGACAAATGGACATACATGATACTCACATACACTGTCACAGTGTTAGTGTTAGCACAGAGTAAAAATACACTCTGGTGTTAGTGCTAGGCCTAATATTTTTTCGCATTGTTTTTGGAGGCTTCAGTTCTAGTTGAGGCTACTCGGATGACATAATAATAACATTGATATAGAAAAAAAATATATGAACTATGAAGGGCTAACATTTCTGGGCTTCATTAAGTTCATAGTCTCAGGTCTGTAGGCTAGGCCTACCACTGAAAACCATTATTAAGAATTTATTGAATTGTCTTACATTCAGTCGTTTCTGTTTTTAGTGTAATTTGTAATCAGTTATGCTCGGCGAAATATGTCCAAATTGAATGGCAGTCTGGTTATTCCAGTATACACTGATAGTATGTGTGATATGTTTAGTCTCCTGGGGGGGTTGGATGGCTGAATGGTTAGCACGTGCGCGCTGTACCATAAAGTCTGTCATTGAGTCAACTGGCGTGGTTTCGAATCCCCGGTTGTACGTGGCAAGGAGTAGGGTCGCCTGTCCAACCTCGTGGGTTTTTCTCCGGTTTCCTCCCACTGCTAAAGACCCCTACGCGCAAGCGAATTATTGAAATAAAATTAAAACCATATGTTAGTCCTGAAATGACCTAGTTTGTGTCGAGTGGACGTTAAACCCCATTTCTCTCTCTCTCTCTTTAGTCTCCTGTTTGTGGACATGAAACTTCATTTTCTCGCACATTTAGCTCCCTTTTCCTTAATTAAAATGTGTTCTTTTGAAATGGATGTCATAAGAAACAACCTGATTGAGAATATTTGTTTTGCAGGTGCATTTTTGAAATTAACCCAGATAACGCACAGAAATCATGAAAAAGAGGAAGACTCGAGTGTGCCAAAAAGTGATATAACTAATCACTAAACTGTCAAACTTTAAATGGATGAAGTACAGTTACAACAATAGCAACAATATACCGGTACTGTGAGAAGGTATACGACGGTATAGATGCCACATTTTGGTTCAAGGTGCTTTAAATTCTGGACCACGGTTTGGTTCACATGGTACAGATATTTTAACTGTCCATTTTCATCCGATGCAGAATACTCCCCTGTAGTTCATGTGACAAGATGGCTTTCGGCAATGAAACATGTGTCCCGCTGAAAGTACATTCCCCTCCGGCGAACCACAAATCACGGATATAGGAACATTTTGAATCAAAAACGTCAGATGGAAAAGCAGTGGCTAGGGAGCTGGAAACACGTCCAAGAAGAAATACTGTGATATGTATCATTGCAACCTATGATGCAATAATGTTCATGCATGCAAACTTTAGGGATAGGCCTATTGAGTTTATGGTTAGTTTTTATACACCAGCACATAGTGTGTATAAAATAGGTGATAAGGGACCGAGCCACAACCCTTTTATGAGTGATACTTTGTAAATGAGACTTTAAACGCACTGCAAGAAATCTTTTTAATGAATCTTCTTAATTAAACTTGATCTTCTTATTGTACTTTTGATAAGATGTCCGTTTACTTTAATGGAAAAATCTTTTGGTCATTTAATTTGTCCATCAACAATTTGGTACATTTGTAAAATTATCCTCAGTTCATTTTGTCTCTAAATATGCGGCCGTGTTGCATAAACATTAAAATTGTGTAACTCTCATCTACACATTTCATTTTGGGACTGGTTCATTAACTTTGTCAGTAGTCGAGTTCCATCTAAATTTTTATCTACGAGACTGAATCAATTTATGCCATTCTCACTAAGGAATGTACATGCTTAGGCAGAGTTATTGTGCAAAATTTAATGATATACATTTTCAAACAGAGATTAAGCTAATCATTGAAACAAGCTGTACATTTAAGGTGGAATAATAGGAATTCTGCATTGATGCTGTTCTTGTTTTAAAGTCATGATACTTTTGGGGTTCAATAATTGTTAGATTTTAAATTGTTCATTTAAACATTTAGAATGCAAATTCATTAATTCCAAAAATTTGAATGATTTCATTATTTCATTAGATCATGTTTTACTGTTATAATTTACTTTCATGTTGTTGATGTTTTAAATAATAGATTTGAGGTAAATATTACAACACCTTGGTTAAGATTTTAGAAAAAGATTTGAGGATAATTCTATTGTAACACACTGATTATATATTTGTAGAATAGATTCAGAATGTTGTTGTTCTACTATAAAAAAAATTCATTTGAATATTATAATGTAAATGTTACATTTACAAGAATTTGAATGGATAATTTCATTATTGTTAAATTTATATTTTGTTGCTACCCATTATTTGATACATCCATGGAAATTTTCACATACATTTTTTAATTGCTGGGAATTTTTGTTTGCTTGTCTTGTGAGAACTTGATAAATATTTTGGAGAGTTATTTCCCTTGTTAATAGGGCAACAAATTCTCTTTTTTTTTTTTAAAGTCGTCACTATTCCATGTACAAATGTTCATTATTATTAATGAAGAATTATGAAAGGAGCTTTGTTTTTGTTGAAATATACCACCAAACTGCTTGACAGCCAAAGAATATGTTAGATCTCTAAACATTCTCCATATTGTAATATCAAATCTGCTCTTGATCCAATGTGTTAAAAATATGAATTTGTGGTTGACAGGTTTTTTTTTTTTTTAAGGCAGTTGTTAGCTTTACTTACTGACAGTAATCTCCAATTTCCAGTATTTTCAGGTCTTTTATTATATCTTAAACTATCATGTAAAAGCATTTTTGAGGAATTAATTGTATCTTATATTGTTTTGAATAATTAAATTCTGTTTTAAATCTTAAGTAAATGTCTTTTTGATGCTTATCATACCATAAGTTTTTTACAGCTGTAAAACATTTTCCGTAAAATTTACGAACAAATGGCTGGCAGCTAGGTTGCCAATCTTTGGACGTAATTTTTACGACATGTTCGTAAAAATATATTTACGGTGTGTCGTAATTTTTACGTACATTGGTTGGCAACCTAGCTGCCAGCCATTTGTCCGTAAATTTTACGGAAAAAGTTTTACAGTGTAGAAATTAATTATTTTTACAATGGTTCTGGTTTATTGTATTTCAGAACTTATCCACGTCCACATGAATATATGAATCTAGATGATTTACCAGCCTCATTAGATTGGAGAAACAGGAATGGTGTTAACTATGCTAGTACAACTAGAAATCAACACATTCCACAATGTAAGTAAAAGTTGTCCAAACGACAAGATTTTTCATCTGTAACTGTTTGTCACGGAGAAACAACAATGCATTCTCTTGTTGGTCGACATTTGCAAAATAAAACATTGTTGGAAAAAAGACATTTCAACCATTTTTGTATACCCATATATTATACATGACAGAACACTTGAATTTCTAGGGTTTATTTGGTTAGTCATGGAGGAAACCGACAAAACGAATCCTCTTTATTATACTCTTCAAAAAAAGTAGGGGATATTCAGAAACAATACAAAACTGCGGAAATGCACTGCTGTTTTTATTAGAGGTGTATGTTAATAACAGGCCAATTGCCTACACATGAACATAAACAGTTCACATTGGCGGCTTATCTGACGGCCCTATTTCACTTTCAAAGAGATACACTGTCAAAAGTGAAAATGGACGTTTTTGATTTTTGTCTTAATAATGAGTAATTGCGCCACCAATCCTCAGACTTTCAGCAATACGTCGTGGCAAGGCCCTAATCAACCGTCCAATCACGATTTGGGGCAATCTGACCCCACTCCTCTTGCAGTGCCACGGCCAATTCTTGCAGTGTTGTCGGTTGACGTTGACGTCGACGAACACGTCTCCCGACCATGTCCCAGACATGCTCTATAGGGGAAAGGTCAGGACTGATGGCAGGCCAATGCATATGGACAATATGGTGACGCTGGAGGTAGCCATTCACGACACGAGCGCGGTGGGCACGGGCATTATCATCTTGAAAGATGAAACGTCGACCTGCACGTTGAGCACAGAGCAGAACTATCGGTGCCAGGATGTGGTCACGGTAGTACACACCAGTGACCCTTCCTTGAACAATATGCAAGTCCGTTCTGCCAGTCATGGTGATTCCTCCCCACACCATAACAGACCCACGCCCGAAACTGTCATGCTGTCTGACGTTAACGTTAGCATGACGTAAATCTGGACTCATCTGAGAACATTAAACGCGCCCATCGACGATTACCCCAATTTCTACGCTGTCTACACCATTGCCGCCTGTTTTCCATGTGTTGGCGTGTTAATGGAGGCACAACACACGGTCGTTGCGCATGCAAATGGGCTGCATGTAGCAGATTTCTAATCGTTTGGGGTGTAACTCGAATTACTGTAACTTGGTACAAGTTTACAGGAAGCTGATTGGCCGTTTGTCCTCGATTTCGCAGGACCTGTGTACGAATGTATGGATCCTGGGCTTGTGTAGTGGCTCTAGGGCGACCTGAACGAGGTCTTATCATCAGCTTTGTGTGTTTGTTGGTACCGGTTTCACAGTCTGCTGATCACAAACTGTGACACATCAAGCATGTTGGCTACTGCTCGCTGTGTAGAACTCATTTGAAGCATGCCAATAGCACGTAGACGTTCATCATGTTGAAGACGTCTCATTGCAAATTAAACGTAACACACTAAAGCAAAGTTACGCTAAACAGTAAATCTGTACAAGAACCGGTAGGAAAGCAAACGTGGATAGGATAAACCAGCCATGATCAAGCTACGAGGGATTATATGTGACAATTTCTGTTGTAGATTGTGGTGGTTGTTGGGCTATGGGATCTACTAGTGCTATCGCCGATCGTATTAATATAAAAAGAAATGGAAGTTGGCCGCTAGCATATTTATCTGTACAGCATGTTATTGATTGTGCTAATGCCGGTAGTTGTGCTGAAGGTGGTGATGACGGTCCTGTATATGATTATGCTAACAAGCATGGTATACCTGATGAAACGTGTAATAATTACCAAGCTACAGATCAAAGTAAGCAATAAAGATAGCATTACAAAATATTTAGACCACATCACTTTATTTTGTTTCAGTGACATTATGATGATATCAAGCACGACTAGAGAAACGGGAGTAATAAACAGAAATTGTATTCTTTAGAATTGTATCCTGTGGATGTAAAACATTATGTACACATGTTATCAGCGGCGTACATAAAGATTTTGTTTCGGGGGGTGTTTAGCAAAAATGCGACCGACTGATGCACATTTCCCTAATACGAGTGACGCAGTCAGGGGCTAACCACCACAGATGACAGTTTTCTAGGGGCCAGTAGCTGATTTGGAAGCTGGGAATAGGGGGTGGGGGTGTGGCGGTTCCAAATCTAGGACACCATCCACAATCCCGCCCCACAATGATGGTCAACAAAATACTGGCTATAACAATGTATGAGCGCCCCGCTAGAACATACATCGTATTGTCTATATAGTTGTTCGCTGATCGTTATCTCGTCGGAAAGCAGTTTTATTCAAGTTGACATAAAGTTTATGTCATATAATATGATGATTGTGAACCTTAGCTTAGGGGCAGTGGCTATAACACTGAGCAACCTGAGAAAATTTTGAAAAATTGAATCAATATCCTGGCATTTGTGGTCATTGCTGGGAGCAAATTCTTGCGAACAAGAGAACCAGAACATTTGTACAATCTGACGCCTCACGACCCACACACCAGCGGTACTACTAACTGGCCCAGGCAGTTCACTATAACCGTGAATATGATAGTGCTGAGGCAGTATAAGACCACAGATAAGTGGAAGAATGATGTCATAATGGAATCTAGCGGTGCAGGCGGGAAAAATTTCAGATATGTAACTGACCTTTTCATTTTTGGGGACTGGGCCTGAAAAGTTTTAGTCACTGTCATGACACCCCTCCACATTTACGCCCCTGCATGTTATATATTTTAAGAAAGAGAGAAGGGGTTATAAGTTATTAAGAATATGCAACGGAACGTATTAGCGATGATATATAATATCATAATCTGAAAGATATATGAGTTTTGTTAGTGAATCTAATTAGAATTTACCCTTTGAATTTTTTTTACTGCAGAATGTGACACATTTAACGAATGTGGTACGTGTACAACCTTTGGTGAGTGTGAAACTCTAAAAAATTATACCCTATGGAGAGTTGGCGATCATGGAAAAGTCAAACATCGTCAAAACATGATGGCTGAAATTTATACAAATGGACCAATTAGGTAAGTCACCAGCTTGCTATAACTTAACTCAGATTTTTAAAAAAAAACAAGTGCGGATCCAGATTTTCGGCAGGGAGGTGTCAAGAAATTTCAGGTCTCCATATTGAAGTGACCATTCACCATTGGTCTGGGTGGCATCACCCCACGTAACTTTGATATAAAATGGAACGCAATTTCCGACCCCCCCCCCCCCCCTGCATCCACGCTTGGACAATGTTCCCTCTATTTGACCATTGTGCCAAGATCAAAGATGTATGTAGCAATAGCGTTTAACTATATCTATGCACCTCTAAATTCTAAATATTGCCAAATGTGGTAAATATATCCGAAACTCCTGCGTCGTTAGCTCGGTTGGTGCAGAAATGTAAGAAGTTAAATGACATTTCATTTTATTTCATTTGTTTCTGAAACATAACGAGAGAAATGGGGTTTAACGTCAATTCGACACAAACTAGGTTATTTCGGGACTAACATTTGGTTCAATTTTATTTCAATAATTCGTTTGTGCGTAGGGGTCTTTAGCAGTGGGAGGAAACCGGAGGAAAGCTACGAGGCTGGACAGGCGATCCCACACCTTGTCACGTATAAACAGGGAATCGAAACCACGCCAGTTGACTCAATGACAGACCTTATGATACAACGCGCATGCGCTAATCATTCGGCCATCCCCCCTTTCTGAAACATACTGTTGTATGAAGATGTATATCAAGTGGATTACACAGTCCATGAGTTGCTTTTGATTAAACATTATAAGCAGTACCTGAACTCAGATGGTATTCCGGCCTTTTACACCACATACATGTATACGTCACCCGAGTTGATTGGTGTACATAGATTGAAAGGAAACATGTTCGAATTAATTCATTGAGGCCTCAAAAATTTTAATTTCTGTTCGTAAGGAATACTAATTACAAATTCTGCCTCCAATTTCTCCAGGAAAAAAACTAATTTAAAAACAAAACTTAGTTGCTCTTCCTGAAAGCTTTTAGTTATTGGTTTGATGAAATTTGTGTTAAGTTATTTTATTTGCTTATCCTCATAATTACAGTTGTGGTGTCATGGCCACAGATGGATTAGAAAAATATCGTGGTGGAGTGTTTTCGGAACATCATTTCTTTCCTATGGTAAACTCATTTATTATAGCTTTCCCCCCTTTCGTTATAAATAATTTACAAAGACTTCCACAATAATACAGAACTGACTAATCGCTTTTGGAACAATTTTCTGGTTGTGAAAGGTTGTCTGGGATGTATATTTTTACCCATTTGAAATGTCCTTGTGGATACAAAAAATAGTCTTGAAGAATTGCATTAATCTACATCCTTGATTCACTATTGTCAAGTCTTTTTTAATCCGGACACATTATGCCAACCTACAATGATCCTTTATTATTATGTGTTATGAATTGACATATTTTAACATATACATGTATGCCATAAACCGCTTGTTTCAGATAAATCATGTTGTATCGGTAGCTGGATGGGGTGTTGATTCTAAGATGGGTGAATATTGGATTGTTAGAAACTCTTGGGGAGAACCATGGGTAAGTAACCATAGCTAACAGATGGAATAAATGTTATGGTTTATGACGATAAGGTTCAATTATGACAACTATGCATAAAAACAGCAATTGTCCCTTTACTCTACGTTAGCCTCATACTTGAATCTAGAGGTAGGACTAAAAATTTGAAATCCCCGATTCTGTACCGTATGAGTATAGCATATAACAGATGAATTTAACACATGAATATAACATGAGTGTATAACATATGAGGTTGAACTCAAAACGAAGAATGCCATCAACCTACATGTAGGTCGTTCGTTCGTTCGTTTCTAGAGTTTTACGCCCACTTCCACCTAAGGTGATATCGTAGACAACATGTAGGCCGTGAATGTTTAATCTTTTATAGTATTTGTGCTGAGCATGCGCTCCAACAAGCCAGGCCTTCACTTATCAGGAATACCTCTGCGCCTCTGCAGGGCTGATAAGGAGAGTGTGTCTAGTCGTTCTGGTGAAACGAAAACCCGAGGTCCATCCGTGTACTAGTAGGCGTGCACGTAAACGTATCCTCGACAGCAGAGCTCACGGCAACCATAGACACAAACTAGTTCATTTCGGGACTAACATATGGTTCAATTTTATTTCAATAATTCGTTTGGGCGTAGGGGATCTTTAAGCAGTGGGGGGAAACCGGTAGACCAGGGGAAAACCCACGAGGTTGGACAAGCGACCCCACTCCTTGTCACGTACAAGCGACCACACTCCTTGTCACGTACAAGCGAGGAATCGAAATCACGCCACTTGACTCAATGACAGACCTTATGATGTAACGCGCACGCGTTAACCCCCCCCCCCCCCACCGCAACCATAGAAGTAACAATAATCATATCTCCAATGACAGACGTAGTGTGTTGACGAGACATTTATAAACCCTATTCCATTGTATTTATTATTTATTATTCTACTATCAAATGAATATTTCTATCAATTTCCTTAGCATAATTTCTTTTCATAATCTTCAGTAAGTTATCTAGGATATAACAAACAACAATTTCCTGATCGTATTTGCACCGGTATATCTATTTAATCCAACGAAATTAACCATAAGTCACCATGTAGAGTTATGTCATAATTATAGCTTTAAAATATAGAAATTTGTATATAAGAGTTTACATCTTGATCATAGCATTACATATAGACATTTGTGTAGAGTTTACGTCATGATTATAGCTTTAAATAATTTGTGTCGATGTTACGTCATGATTATAGCTTTAAATATAGACATTAAGTGTAGAGTTTACGTCATAATTTTAGTTTTAAAGTGTAGACATTTTGATATATTTTAGGGTGAACGAGGATGGTTCCGTATTGTAACTAGTGCTGGTCTAGGAGGTAAAGGTGAAAGTTATAATCTAGGTATAGAAACACAATGTGCTTATGCTGATGTTATTGTCCCTATTGCTTAAATATTACGTAATGTAAAAGCAAAATTTGTATATAGAAGTTTATACAAAGGATGTACATTATTTTATAATTGTGTAATTTATTTTGTTACTTATGGAATTTAATATATATTTTTTTTATGTTTAAAATGTTTTTATACAGTCGTGTGTGTACGCACAATTTACATAAAAATGGGTACCGACGACTACCTCAAACCCGTACCTGTCTGATTAAATTCTCATAAGCAACGTGCATGTCGTGTATTTAAACATTTTTAGTATTTTATATATATATATATATATACACACACATGTGAAGACTCCCATATAGAAATGTTGTCTTTTCGCAAGATTTTTCTGTTTTACCCACTTGTCACAGTTTGCTCCATGGAATGTAATATACAATACTCTTCCCCAATTAAGTTGCTGGTTTGTCTTGGCGATGAACATTTTCTGCCAGTCTTGTCTGTTTGCCCGTCAGACATTTTGGAACACAATAACCCTGCTTCTAATTAAGTTGGATTATTTAACTTAGTGTAAATGTCAATCGGGGGTTCATGATAACTTTCTGCTTAGGCTGTGATTGAGATAATTTTCGGCTTAGGCTAAGCATAGATACGCCATTTTATTTGTCGAGGCTTTGGAACGCCATACGTTTCATTCTGATTTAGTGACATTAATAAAACTCGGTGTGCAGTTCATTACATCAACACCTTGACCAAGTTCGATAATAAGCAAATCAGGTTAAGCAGAGTGATAATCAATTTGATTGCACGATGGATGTCATCGAAATGTGGCGGATTAAGGCAGGGAACACCAACCTCACTGTTGGGTTGTTTAACTATTTGCTGCGAATGAACATGCCTAAAACCTTAATAGAAGATTATAGATAATATAAACTGTGTTTTCTAATGTCAGTGTGTACATATTATGCCTGCATTGACCTTGACTATGAAAAATAATTACCCTAACACAAACAATCATGTGCAGCTGCTTCAATGTACATGGTCTTATGGTTGGATTGCCGAATGGTTAGCATGTGCGCGATGTATCATAAGACCTGGCGTGGTTTCGAATCCCTGGTTGTACGTGACAAGGAGTAGGGTCGCCTGTCCAACCTCGTGGGTTTTCTCCGGGTCCTCCGGTTTCCTCCCACTGCTAAAGACCACTACGCGGAAGCGAATTATTGAAATAAAATTAAATATGTTAGTCCCGAAATGACCTAGTTTGTGTCGAGTGGACGTTAAACCCCATCTCTCTCTCTCTCTCTCTCTCATTGTCGTTAAGAAATTGAACTGCTTTAGAAAACCGGTTCTCATCGATTAGAGGTGACGTAAAAAATGAGGTCCTATATATAAATTGGCAGTTCACGTAAGTAAAAGACCACTTATAAAATCATGCCAGTAGTCAATTTATTTTCGTGATATATTTTATTATCTAACATATGGCAAATCTAATGTTTCAGTTTTATCATTATTTGATCTGTTTGATTTTTAAAAAATTTCCCGTGTGCGAAATATACTATTCAAAAAAAGTAGGGGATATTTGATTTTGGGGGCATAATACTAAAATATGCAAATGACTACGAAAAAAGTCACTATAGAACCTAACAGAAGAAACATTTCCAGTTACATGTGACGCCCAAACGCACCAATAGCTACCGCATGGAATGCAGGTGATGCTTGGGATCATCATGGGGTCCAACCCAAGATTTGCACGACTCTGACTTTGAATGTTACAGTCATTGTGGCATTGAATTCCAGGGTGGAAACATCAGTTTAATTGTTTTAGTGACCAGAAAACAAATTTTGATATGCGTCGGCTTACCCAAAATGAAAGGTTACGTGCCCTTGGCATGCTACAGATCGGCACAACACAGGCGGTTGTGGCGCGGACGATGAATGTTTCTCAGTCTGTCATTAGCAGGCTATGGTCTAGATACCGTGATACACAATCTGTACAGGACAGACCACGCTCAGGTCGACCAAGGGCGACAACTCAAGCCCAGGATCGATTTATCCGTACCTTGGCCTTGAGAAATCGTGTCATCACAGCAAATCAGATCAGCGCTCGTCTTCAAACAGACACTGGTGTGAGAGTGAGTGGCCAGACGATTCGGAATCGACTGCATAGGGGTCACCTTCGCGCCCAACGTCCTCGTTTGATCCCTTGTTTGAGAGATCATCACATTCAGGCAAGACGTCGTTGGTGTAGGGATCGTCAACACTGGGATAATCGACGCTGGAGCAATGTGATGTTTTCAGATGAGTCAAGGTTCACTGTTGATTTTTTGGACAGACGTAGGAGGGTGTGGCGTCGTCGAAACGAGCGCTTCCAAGACGTTAACGTCATCAGACATGATCGATTTGGGGGTGGTTCTGTTATGGTGTGGGGAGGCATCACTGTTGCTGGAAGAACGGCTTTACATGTTGTTGCAGGGCGTGTTACAGACCAGTACTACCGGGACAACATCTTGGCAGTCCATGTTGTGCCGTTCGCACGACGTCACGGCCGCCGTTTCATCTTCCAGGATGACAACGCAAGATGTCACAGGGCCAGGATCGTTACAGGTTACCTCCAACAACAGAACATCACCACATTACCTTGGCCAGCACTGAGTCCCGACCTCTCCCCCATCGAGCATGTCTGGGACATGCTTGGACAGAGGCTACGTCAACGTCAACAACGTCCTGCCAATGTCCAAGAACTTGCTGCTGCGTTGCAACAGGAATGGGACAATCTGGACCAAAATGACCTTAGACGTCTCATTAGGAGTATGCCACGTCGGATCAATGCTTGTTTGGCAAACAGAGGAGGATTTACCCGTTACTGACTTGGTTGTGATGCTGTGGTAACTTTGCTGTTTGACCCCGGGTATCATTTTACCCTTATAATGGTCAGTCTGTGCCTTACTTAGTCTAACGATCATTTGGAATAAATCGATGAATGTGAACTTCATTTCATTTTGTCATTTGTTTCTTCGTCAGTTTCATTAGGTGACTTTAATAACACTTAAAAATCAAATATCCCCTACTTTTTTTGAATAGTATATATTATAATTTACAACATAAAGATTGTTCTGTATTTCAAAAGGTTGTATATTATATCATTCAGAAACACCGTTATATCATCTATAATTAAAATATCAAATTTTCATGGAAAGACAAGTGTCAACAAGTTATTAATAGTTGAATCGTACGAATACGACATGGATCGCACACAAATATCAATACGACTATGACCCTTACCAAAGAAAGCACTTCCGGTATCCACAACCTAAAATAAAGCAGACATATTAATTGCATATAATTTTCAGAAGTTAACTTCTCAACCTAAAATAAAGCAGACATATTAATTGCATATAATTTTCAGAAGTTAACTTCTCAATTTGTGGAACAATTAGTGTTAACAATCCTTTAGAGGCATTTAGCAAATCGATAGAACAATAAACTGTAACAAAGAACAATTGGTGATTCTCTCAACGTTTTCAAGCAAGTATAATTACGGTAGTAATGTTTAATGTTTATTACAGCGGGGTAATCTACATGCCGTGTTTTATTCCTACTTCTTGTGTACATGTCGGATGCTTGTAAACTGATCTGGTGGCTTGGATACTTCCTATGTAATCTTCTATACAACAATATCTCCAAAATGGCAACAATAAAGACCCCCCCCCCCCCTTTGAAATCTTAAGACATTTAAAGATGGAATATTGCAAAATACTGCCAAATGCATCCATTGGACTTGTATTTTGATCACCGGTTAGTGTCCATTGTGTTGAGTTTATTTTTATTAGAACATAAATTATTGGTTTAATATTAAAACGTAACTAACGTAAAAACCATCTACCTTAAAGATAATTTTTTTGTTGTATTTATGATTTATCTGTGGAATGCAGATTGTAGTTCCATAAGCAATGCCTGCTCTGTTGTCCATAGCAACACTAACATAACTAGCACCTCCTTCAAGAAAATCTTGTAGTGTATGTAGTTTTGATCCTCTCATATCAACAAAACCTCCTTCTAATGCACTGTTATCTGGGTAATATGCCGTACCTCTAGCATTATATCGGTGTCCGCCTGGACAATCTAACCCACCTTCGAAACAAGACAAATCATTGTTTTATATTGCTATGTATTTAAGAATCCCCTAAATATAAACTCACAATTCTTACCGATTTGTAAGAATGAGTGAATGAAATAGGATTTCACGTACTACTTTATGAAGACGGGTACACGCCGTACAGTGTGCCATGGGTGTTGGGTCCACTGTCAAGGTTCTTTTACGTGCATGTCATCTTGTACACTGGACCCCGTTTTTTTTTATTTAATCCGAACGACTGGACACTGTTCTCTGCCAAGCCCTTCCTATAACAGCACCTAAGCTAAAATGACGATTCATAGTTAACGATATAATAACCATGCAAGATTTTAAAAATGACGACACTGATAATAGGTGTTTCGTAGGCTTTATTCTTACTAATATTAACACTAAAACACCCATAATTATCACATCAAGCTTTATTTCTTTAAATTAAGAAAACATGAAAATAAGCCAACAGTTCATCTCAGTAGTGTGGCCATGTTCTGATAAGATTGTACAACGCTTGACCAGGACAGCTGGTTGAACCCATATCTCTGTGACCTCTTAGCACGTAGCTTTGGGAAATCTTGCCCTTGCTGACACCACAAGCAATCATTCTTTTCACTGTAGCTATTGCAGCGGCATTCGGGACACGGCTATCAAAACTTCCAATCATACAGAAGGCTAAATAAAATAAACAAAATATTCTTAATTCGATAAGAAAAATTGTACTGTAGATTTAATAATAGATAGACATTGTCATGTTATAATGATATGATTCGGCTTCAGGTGTTGTTATAAAAGAACTATGTGCACCCTGCCAACCAATGAACATCCACGGATGGGGTTAGAGGAGGTAGTCTACCTTTGTTCGTGTATACTCGGCATACCTAGAAGTCAATTGGTGGCTCCATGCTCTACCACATAATTGTCTTCTAGAATAATTAAAATAGGTTTACCTAAACCAACAGAATTGTATCCTTGAGTATGAGCACCAACTCGATCCCAGCCTCTACCTTCATAAGCATTACCATCTTCACCAACCAAAAAACTGTATCCAATATCACTCCATCCTGAGAAACAAAAGTAAAATAACCAGCCACCCGTTACATTTTCATTCTCGTAACAATTACTAATTCTGACTTTATAGCGAGGAATCATTATTATGCTTTAGTTTTTTTGTCAATTTGCAACTGAATCAAATAGCCAGTCGCGTCGATAGGTTAAGTAAGGTGTTGGAACCTACCATGGGTGTCCATGTGGTAATTCTGGTATGATCTGACGATAGCCGAACAGGAACTCTGGGTTGTACAGGATGCACTTTCTCCATGATGAATAAAAGCATAGTGTACTGGTTGTTTGGTTAGGTATGTAATACTTGTAGGAGAACGGGCACCCCAGGCTGATCTGCTTACGATGTTTGGACAACCACCAAGTACTATTAGAAATAAAGCAACTATCTGGATCTTTAAACAAAAGACAGCGATCAAAGGTAGCTGGATAAAATATTGGGAAAATCAGACAAAGAACGCGGCTATGTTTTTGTTTTGTTCTGTTTTTAATTCACTGTTCATTTCACAATTAAAATCGATACTGTAGTGGAAATTATATTTAATGATTTTTCCATGGAATGATGAACCAGTGGCTGCCAGACAGGATACGCCCACATTTTGCAAGAGATGGATAGAGAACAAGCTATAAACAAAATCGATTTTTTTTGCACAATCAGGGGTCATAATCTAGAAAGTTATGGTCTGAAATGCGCAAATATCAAAAGGGACTGAGAATTTTGGAATATAAAGATATGTTTTAAGTTTCATCAAAATCGGATAAAAATTGTGACCTCTAAAGGGTCCATAACCTTTGTATTACATACTGATACACAATTTGCGTACAAAGAGCGGCCAATTTGTCGGGCAGTTCCATTTCAATTTTCCCGAAATTCCAATTCAACCTTCATTATGGTGGAATGGTGATATATCTAAACGGTTTTTAAAATCGGAAAAAAGTGTGACCTCTAGAGAATCCACAAGCTAAAAATTCGATTTTTCGACCAATCAGGGTCCATAATCCAGGGAGTTACATTCTGATATGTGTGATTATCAAAGGGAACGAAGATCTTTATGATAAAAACATATATTTAAAGTTTCATCCAACCTGGATATACCATATTTTTACACTATTTGCTTACAAGGGGCGGCCATTAGAGACTTTTGGCAAGCGTAAATTTCTGACCCGTATCGCGTATCCATATGGATTTTGCGTGTGACGTCATCAATGTGTGTGCAATTCTCATACATGATACGTCACACGGATACGGCAGCACGTATCGAACAGCTTTCATACGGAAAAGGTCCGTATAACATTGTCGTGTCCTTTTACCGTCTTTTTTTACTACTTTTAGACGCTGAAATGTTGTATCGTGGCGTTTTTATGAATCTTTGTGTATTCCAGAACACGAAGGTGTATATTTGATGTGATGTTAACCATGATGGTTGATCTACATTTCTACGTGCTAAATTTAGGGAACGGGGCCTTGCAATTCTGTAAATAATTTTATTCTGTGGTAAAGGGGTATAAACTTTCTGAAATGATACATTAGTGAACCAAAATTGCGCGAATATCAAAAGGAACCAAGATCTTTGGGTTATAAACATGCATGTCAAATTTCATCAAAATCGGATCAAAGTTTTGAACTCTAGGAGGTCCACAACCTTGATATACCAGATGTTTATACTATTTGCGTACAAGGGGCGGCCATTTTGTTCAACAGATGTGGTCGGATTTTCACGAAATTCGAACTCAACCATCATAAGGGTGTAACGGTGATATACTAAAACGTTTTTTTTTTTTAAATCGGATAAAAATTGTTACCTCTAGAGGGACCATAAGCTAAAAGCGCGATTTTTCGTACAATCAGGGGCCATAATTCAGGAAGTTACGAACCGATATGCGCAAATATCGAAAGAAACCAAGATCTTTGGGATATAAACATCCATTCCAAGTTTCATCAAAATAGATTGAAAATTGTGATCCCTAAAGGGTCCACAACCTTGATATACCATATTTTACACGATATTGCGTACAAGGGGTGGCCATTTTGTCCGGCAGTTTTGGTCCGATATTCACGAAATTCGAACTCAACCATAATTAGGGTGTAATGGTGATAGATTAAAACAGTTTTTTAAATGGGATAAAAATTGTGACCTCTAGAAAGACCACAAGATAAAAACGCGATTTTTCGTACAATCAGGGGCCATAATTCAGGAAGTTACAATCCGATAGGCGCGAATATCGAAAGGAAACAAGAAATTTGGGTTATAGAAATGCATTTCAAGTTTCATCAAAATCGGATCAAAATTGTGACCCTAGAATGTCCACAAACTAATAACGTGATTTTTCGTACAATCAGGGGCCATAATCCATGAAGTTATGGCCCGAAACATGCCAATATCGTAAGGAACCGAGATCTTTGGGAGATTCAACTATATTTCAAGTTTCCTCAAAATCGGATAAAAATTATGACCTGTAGAGTGTCCACAAACAAATTGTGGACGGACGGAGGTCCAGACGGACAGCGGCGACGACAATATACGTCAACATGAAAATGTGGGCGTATAAAAATACGACATTGGGCAGCGTCGATGCTGACATTTGTTTTAAGTTACTATAATATATATTTTTAATTAATTAAACTTGAAGAACAATTTAAATATAACTTCAATCACCTCTGAAAATTATCGCGGTACACATTTTTTCACGCTTAAAGGAGCCAGGTATTTAACTTAATATCATCTACAGTCTTCAACATTGCAAACACGACATATTCGTCAATTTAAATCAACATTGGTGTTGTTATCTTACCGTGAAAAGTTGGGCTTCTGATATCCAATATTTAAGACAAAATGAAAATATAAAATTTGTATGAAGCGACTCGATGCACGAGGCGAAACATTTCTCATGTAGGAGAACACTACCGGTGTTGACTGGAACAACCAGACGTCAAAGACGGCCATTCAATTCGGACTCTTCGCGTATTTCGCCGAACATAACTGATTAGAAGTACAGTAAACACAGACGATTGAATGTAAATCAGTTTATATACATTCATATTACATTATTATTGCGATCAATTTGTGTCCATTTCTAGGTGCCAAAGAATAGCGATTTGGCTCCTTTAAACAATTTCAAATTCTTTGTGTTCTATATTTGAATGGCATTGAATACCAAAGGTGTGTTAATCAAAACAGTCAGTATGCAGTAGAGTTTATTCTGATATAATCCTGGATATAATGATATAGGATAAGTAAAGGTACGGGTCATCCTGTCTTGTTCTCTTTGTATGGTATATATATAGATGTTCAGTTTACTAATTGTCTCGGTTTTTAGTTACACGGGCACCTTGTGTCACATACTTATTGATGTTCAACTCCAAAATTCATTCAGTTGTATCTATCACACCTCGGCTCAGCAGTTCATTCCGGCTGTTGTTCGAGAAAGTACTTCGGATTATTCTTCGTGGTTTCCCATTGTCAGTGGTACAGGACGTTCGGAACAGTGTCTAGTCGTTCTGATTCGGCGGAAAACCGAGGTCCCGTGTACACGTTAGCGTGCACGTAACAGTTGGAACCCGAAATAAAAGTAGGCTGCAGTGCCGCTGTCCGGGCAAAATTCCCCTCATATTATGGCGTCCCCTTCTTCATTATCCCAGTCGGACAGAAAAGTAGGACGTTAAACCTCAGTTTTTTTCATTTCAATTTCCCATACCTCAGATGATGTAGTCAAGTTATCTTACGTATTTTGTAATATTTTGACACTGCGTCGATGGTTGAAGACTTGATAATAAAACTAGACAGGAGGGTATCTTATCTGTCAAGTTGTGATATGTGCAGCAACTGCCGATGACTTATTAGGATAAGGTAAGTTTTAAGATTATTTTTTGTTATGACATCGATTACCTTAAAACAAGAATTGTTTGCGATATAATATTATCATTAATAATCATTAATATGCTAAATTAGTCAATATGTGTCAAATTTGTGGTTTTGCAGCTGTTAAAAATAAAGAATTGAGAAATTAATTATGGTATGTTATAAAAAATATATTCCAGCAAAATACCATAATGATATATTGCGTACGGGGCGAAGGGCATAACTTATATTTTACTTACCGCTCCCAGAACCACAATTATCCTGGGCGAAACAGCATGCTTTGTCTCCAGAGCACAGGTCTGAGATATAGGTGCCAAAAGCACAGCAGCTCTTAGATATACATTTTCCTACTTTACCAAATTTAGGATGATTATAATCTGTACAAGAATCACCTGCATAAACATAAACAATCAATAACCTGGGAACATAATATAGTTATCAAAGATTGGGCCACTTTGCCCCTGAAACTGTTATATACCCAATAATATAACAAAACAGATGACTTTATACAGTTTGGTGCAACACGCGACAATAAATTAAATCTTAATCGAACAATACTTTGTGCTAGTTTATCAAAAGCCCACGTTGTGGGTGGTTTGAGGGTTTTAAATTCAAAATCTAGGGGTCAAAATTTAGCAACCACAGCATCCACAGGACTTTTTGAAGTCTGACGAGAGCCAAGGCTATCCCCTCAGAATCTACATGATGTTTCTAAGAACTCTGAATGATGTCTTCGTTGGTCCGAGTTCCACTAGCCAAACTTCCGAAACGCTAGATGATGCCCCTCTCAGTCGGTAGCTCGAGCGTTGGAATCAACTCTCTCCATCGTGGCATAATGATGTCTGCTGAATCGGAGTCAATTCCACCCTTTTAAAAGCGCGGAGGGGGGGGGGGGGGGTGAGAGTTGGGTGGGGGGACGCCCATAGTTAATAACTCCAGGTCTGCGACCAACGGGGCACCATTTATTACATTAGTTTGCAAATACTGTACCTTAGATTCAAACATAATGGACTAATATGGAAACCGCTGGCCAGTTTTCCTAAGAATTAGCCAAGTACCAAAAACTATGACCAAATTTGGGTTACTAGACTTATAGCCCAAAATCTTGTTTGCAATCCAGGCGAACCTCCCATATGCACGAAGACAATTACAATATTCTATCTATATGTCCAGCAATATAGTGTTACCATCCCAACATTATGGCATCTATTTACTCAAATCTAACGCGCGACCTTTTGTAGGTAATGTCCACGATACACTAAAATGAACAGTGTAATTTTTTTCACAAAAGCATTATAGTATTATATAGAAGTGTGCCATCAAGTGTGCCAGGAAGTTTTTGAAAATCAATATGATTCTTGACATCGTTCACAAAGAAGCTGTGGACGTCGGATGGGCAATAAATTCCCATAATAGACCGACAAAAATTGGTGGAATAGACTGTATAATAGTATTTGTAGACTGTACTATAGAATCTTTTTAAAAAGTATATTCGGAATTAAAGTAAGAGTCTTGAAATAATTTCGTCCACATGTCCGATAATCATAATATAAGCCCATACTGACACTTAACGTAGAATTTTTGGACGCCATTCCAACCAGTCTAGCTGTTGAGAGAAGGACAAATAAAAAGAGTTCACTTTGTGAATATTATCCCGAATTTTCATTTTTCTATACATAAAAGGTGAATATAATATTATATAGAAGTGTGCCATCAAGTGTGCCAGGAAGTTTTTGAAAATCAATATGATTCTTGACATCGTTCACAAAGAAGCTGTGGACGTCGGATGGGCAATAAATTCCCATAATAGACCGACAAAAATTGGTGGAATAGACTGTATAATAGTATTTGTAGACTGTACTATAGAATCTTTTTAAAAAGTATATTCGGAATTAAAGTAAGAGTCTTGAAATAATTTCGTCCACATGTCCGATAATCATAATATAAGCCCATACTGACACTTAACGTAGAATTTTTGGACGCCATTCCAACCAGTCTAGCTGTTGAGAGAAGGACAAATAAAAAGAGTTCACTTTGTGAATATTATCCCGAATTTTCATTTTTCTATACATAAAAGGTGAATATAATATATCCATTCAGCTTACCCAAAACGGCACCAACAAGTCCCAACAACAGCAATGCGTGCATGGTGCTAACTTTATTCAATGATAATACACCCACTAAATGTAAGAAAAGGAATTTATAGGCCTTATATAGGCCAAGATAACATGAAACGTTGACACCACCTAACAAATATTGAGCTAATCATTACTTATAATAGAAGGAGCCACTCAAGGAGGGATAAAAATCAAATGGCACATGACATTCTTTGATATCAGCATGGTCAGAAAAGATATTACCGTCCGGTATATTACACGTATTGAGTGCATAATGGACAAACACAGGAATGTTTTCTGTACAATATAATGTCACGAGAACGTTTTCATTATTGGAAATGTAACTAAAAATGGGTTTCGAGAATCATGGTCAATGTGCCCACTTGAAAGTTTGGGAAAATGGCAGCAGGCGAACAAATAGTTAAGGTCGATGGGCTTATGAATGGAAACAAACCACCTGGTTTACAAATATCTCAAGTAAAAACGAACTGTGCTGTTTAACTCTAAACCCTGTCTGATTATGAACAAACTTCTTAAAGGAGCATTAGGTAAGAATAGATAGAGAGCTGACAGTTCTTGCTATAATAGTTAAAAAATAGATAATGGAAAGGGAATATGTTGAAAATTTTAGTAAAATTACTTACCCTGAGCCGAGAATATTTGCTACAATCACACTGTAGCCTCAATTGTGATTGCTACCGTTGTTACGATAATAAACTAAGCCTCGATTATCCAAATCGCCGTAAATTGCACTCGAGTTGGCAGTTTAGTGGGATCCCGTTCAACTTTTGCAGTGAATCAAATCAAATCGCCGTAAATTGCACTTTTAAGTAGTTGGCAGCTTGGTGGGATCCCATTCAACTTTTGCAGTGAATCAAACCAAAATTTGTCCAATATTCTATCTAAATTCAGACACCCTGATTTGCTGACGAGCGACTCTAGTCAGGGAGACCAATTGCGCCCCTGCATGTCACAGCCAAGTTTCGAACACTGCTTCCATGAAGTTTTAATTTCTTTTATACGATAGGCCTACAGAGTTTAATCAACTGATATTCTAAATCTATTGTTTTTATTTTCAAAGACATTACAAATTTTCAAATGATATATAGACTACAATGCACTAGGGTACGTTGAACCAGTGGTTCAATTCAATCTGCCACAGTTTTATGATCAAAATTAAAAAAAAAAAATTCAAAATCGATCATGCCATTGTTTCTCTGGATTGTAGATTAGACATATATGAACTGGTTGTAAACAAATTATTAAATGATATATAGTCTATAGCCTATATAATGCACTGGGAAAGTTGAATCTGCCCCATCACAGTTTCATGATCAAAATTTTATCTGGATTGTAGATTAGACATATATGAACTGATTTTAAGTACAAGAATTTCCTAGGCTAAGCAGTTAACATGTAAGGAAAATGATAAGTGGAAGTAGGTCTAAGAAGTTACCTCACTTCTGACTAGTCTTGGGTTGTCTAGTATTATAAAGGATATTTATGGTGGTTCAATGTATCCATATGTTCAATGTGCCCCGGTCTCCCCTAAACCAAATTTCATTGAAGTTTTCAGCATATTCTGTTTTCATTACCTATACCTAATATAGCGAGAACTGTCAGCTCTTTATCTAACCTTACCAAATGCCCTTTAGTTAATTAATATAACATTTCAGGCCTAAAAAGAATAAAATGGAATAGACAGATTTAGCTCTTGCAGTATGCTTGTCTTACTAGCTACTAGCTACTGTTCATAAAGCTATTCTCGTATGAACGAAACTGATGATCACCCGTATACACATGGAGGCTTTCTGGAATCAGATTGTGATGAGCAGGTTAGCTCATATAGGCCTAAATGTAGGCTTACATAGTACATGTATTATACTAGTATCAATACCGTACTTCAGAAATAAGACACTAAATTAAACAAATTCATCGTAAATTTACTATCAATTTAAATGTAAAAGGTATACAGTAAACTTGTAATAATATAACTGTAAGCATGTATTTTAACACGGAATGGTAGTTATCTCGATGATTTACAGGTTATCGTTGAACGACACATTTTCGTACGTTAGTTACGTACATAGCCTACATGTAGCCTATTCGATAATGTTGTCGTAAAATGAACAAGAAGAAATAAAATTCATTTTACACCGTTTCTGATTGAAATTCATATTTTCATGTCCGTTATACAAGTTTTGGAATACTAGTCTGTTTTAAAACTAGAAACTGCTGTGTACTATGCTGTGTATCGAGAGAAGTAGGCCTACTATGTCGCAAATTTCTGAACGACGTCGGATTCAATACGTCATTGGTCGGATTCGTGGCGGGTTTGTGACAACTTTCTTTGTGGTTGTTGTATCATTCAATTCATTAAAAAGTGATTTGTTTAATAATTTGTAATCTACTACATGTACTTATACGGTAATATTCAAAATTTATGTAGTTAAAGTTAGAGATTCAACGGCCTTCTCCATGCAGTAAGAATTCCTAAATTAGATCTAGCACAATTTGATTTGATTTAGTCGGAAAAATCGAGACTATGACTATGACAGCAATGGCGAATGCTTCATACAAATGCTAAACAGAGGCCGCGGAGCGATTTCCGAAGTGGGGGATCTGACAATGATAATTGAGGGACGAAGTCCCGAAAACGAAGCGTCGCGTAGCGACGTAAGAGCGTATTACTGGAGGCGTCGCAGGCGCCGGAAGCTTCCGGCGTGGGGTTTGAAACTTTGATGTGATTTTTTGCATTTTTAAGTAACCCAAAACCCTCCTGCTATCACAAAAGAAAAGCTGACCATGACTCACCACTCATGTTATCCATGACGAGAACAAATGAAATGAAATGAAATGAAATGGGGTTTAACGTCCTACGGTTTTGCTCCGAACTGGGCTAATGAAGACGGGCATACGCCATACTGTGTGCTATGAGGGAAATTTTGCCCGGACAGCGGCACTACGGCCTACTCTAAATACTTATATCGAATTCCAACTGTCAAGGGATCTTTTACGTGCACGCCAATGTGTACACGGGACCTCGGTTTTTCGTCCCATCCGAACGACTAGACAGCTTTACTTGTCAGCCCCTCCGTCCTGGATCAGTGACAAGGGAGAACCACGCCGGAACATCTGGATGAACTTTCTCGGTCAATGCAGGGATCGAACACGTACCCGACCTCCAGGCTACGAGCCAGCATCTTACCCACTTACCACCGTGACCCCCCCCCCCCCCATGACGAGAACAATGCCAGTTATAATTATCATAAATGTAGAATGGGAAGAAATAACGAATTTCGGATAGGCCTGGACTATGTCGACTTGGTAATGGCCGTACATGCTTTGGATTTTCATGGTAGCCCATTGTTAATGATTTCTAATTATTTAATTTGTTTTATTTTACAATATTCCACTAGTTTCTATTGAACGCAATGTACTCGTAGGCCTAAATTAGGATGTGATCAGTTCTGGACTGAAATGAGTATTTTTGTTTGTAATTAAATTATATTCAGTGGAAAGGATATAATAAATAAAAAAAAGTGGATACCGGTACACTCTGTGTGAGTATTTTATTAATTGAGAAAGAATATATTAAAAAATCGGAAGAAAAATGAACCTTTATGTTTGTGCTAATTTCTTTGAATAAGTTAAAACTATATTATTTGGAGTGGTTTTTTTTATTCGTAGTTTAAAATGTTTTAAGTGATTTTGTGTCGTAACTGATCTTGAAACAAATCATTAAGTTAAAGTAGATCTTTACCAGTGAAATAAAATTGTGATTTTTTAAAAAAAAAAATCCAGTCAATATAACTGTATTTTTACCAACACCTGTAACTTTACTGTAGCTGCATGTTAAAATCTCTTCAAATTTTACTGGGTTGTAAGTTATTTCAAACGCAGTACCTATAGTAAATTTACTCCGTCAGGTATTGTCACAGAACAAATGTAAAAATACAGGTGTTGGTAATACAACTGAATTACCTGGAAAGTGGCAACTTTGCTGTCAGTCATTTTATATGTAAAAATACTGAATTACTTCTAAAAGTGTAAAAGCAGTGGGTATATTTTTTTGGATAAATTTTGCATTTTCTAATTATGCCCAATTGAACTGTAGAGTTATGATCAAGTCAAATTGAAGATAATTATTTTAGCAATCATTTTGAAAGTGCCACTTTAAATTTACTTTTAAATTTGTATTTTGTGTTTTTTTCATTTTATAGATCATAATTCAACTATCATTTAATTAAGCTGTGAAAATAAATGGACCAGCTGGTATAGACCGGGAGCCCAGGAGGTTAGCCTAGCTGAAAAGTGTACCAATTTTCACATATATGGTATCAAAGCATGCATATCTGGTATCATCAAAATGTAAGTCTGCCGGTATCTGGTGGTGGGTGTGGCTGTTAGGGCTGCGATACTGGGCATGTTACTTGGGCTAGATTAGCTCAAAAGTGTACCACATGAAAATGGTACAGCAGTGTACCTTACATTTTCAAGTATTACAAAAACATTTTGACTGACATTTCTAGTGGTAGGGTACCCCCGACAGGGTTATGTAATTGTCAGACCACAGCTAGGCTAGATTAGCTGAAATCTGTACCACCTAAAACTGCTTGGAAGTTGTTCAGCACCACAGGAATGTGCGGGCAGGCAGTTTGTGCGGTGGGTTACCCCTAACACTAACAGTCACGCCAAAAATGCCACGCCCTCAACTAGGCTAGTCTAGCTGAAGCCCGTACTACCTAAAACTGCTTGGAAGTTGTTCAGCACCACCACATCAATCAAGAATGACCACAGCCAGACATTTTGTGTGATGGGTTACCCCTGACAGACACGCCCAAAATAAGAATTTGACCCATTGAATCCGACTTGGGTGTTCCTCCTAAAAAGTGACTGCTAATTCCAGTAGGAAGCCAAATTCACAATGGGGGCTCATTTTTGAAGGAAACTCATAATGTTCCCTAAAACGGCGTGTAATATATTGAAATATAGGTTTTCGTTGTCAATTACTTCAAATATAAACATAAAAAACATGTTTCGACCAAA